GAAGTTGACATTTTTGATGTGTGGGGTATTGATTTCATGGGACCGTTCGTGAGCTCTTGTGGGAACACTAACATTTTGGTAATCGTGGACTATGTGTCAAAATGGGTTGAAGCTGTGGATTTACCCAACAACGAAGCTTGAAGTGTGGTGGCATATTTGAAGAAAAATATCTTTACAAGATTTGGTACTCCAAGGGCTATTATTAGTGATGGGGGATCGCATTTTTGCAACAAGGCTTTTGATACCTTACTCACAAAGTATGGTGTCACTCACAAAGTATCGACCCCCTACCATCCTCAAGCAAGCGGACAAGTTGAATTCTCCAACCGGGACATCAAGAGTATTTTTTTAAAGACAGTGAATGCCAACCGGACGGATTGGTCAAGAAAACTTGATGATGCTCTTTGGGCTTATAGGAAGGCATCCAAAACACCGATCGGGATGTCTCTATCCGGTTAGTGTTCAGGAAGGCGTGTCATCTTCCGGTGGAACTTGAGCATAAGGCCATGTGGGCTTTGAAGAAGTTGAATCTTGAGTGGGATGTCACCGCAAACAAGAGTGGCACAATTGAATGAGCTAGATGAATTTCGGTATCATGCCTACACAAGATCGTCCCTTTACAAGGAGAAGATGAAGTACCTCCATGACAAGTACATCCACAACAAGGAGTTTAAAGAGGGTGATCTTGTGCTATTGTTCAATTCCCGGTTACGATATTTTCAGGCAAGTTGAAGTCAAAATGGAGCGGCCCATTTGAAGTGGTGAATGTGACCCCCTTTGGTGCTCTTGATTTGAAAAATAAGAACGATGAGGTGTTTAGAGTCAATGGGCACCGGGTTAAACATTATCTTGGCAAGGTTGATGATGGCCACATTGTGGAGGTTCTTCATTTCAAATGATTGGTAATCTGCGTCGCGCCGTGACGTTAAATCAGGCACTTCTTGGGAGGCAACCCATGTGTCTTTTTCGTTTTCTTGTTCTTCTTCATTAGATAGGCTTTATTTTGTGCTAACTAGTTTTGAAGTGTGTGCAGGAAGGGGTGTCCATTGCAGGGACTGTGCAAGAAAAATTGGCTAAGTGTCACAAAAGTGCGGACCGCACCATAATTATGCGGACCGCACAGTCACTCAACGGCCGCACAATTCTGTGAGCGGCCGTACAACTGGAGATCCAAAATCACGAACTCTCTGAAGTTGGAATTTTCAGGAAAGTGGCCAAATGCGGCTGCACACAACAGTATGCAGATCGCACAAGGATATGCGGCCGCACTCATTTTTGTGCGGACCGCAGTGCTCAATTCATGTACAGGTAAAGAGTGCGGACCGCACTCACAATTGTGCGGCCGCACTCAAGTAAGTTCTGGACCCGACTTGGTCAAAGTATAAATAGGGCTTTTCACCACTATTCACATTTTACGCTCTCTGAACTCCCAAGCCCTAGAAATTACTCTGCATCCCAAAAATTGTTCGCAAATCACACTCAATTCATCAAGTTAGATTCTCACCTTCATCATTCACTACTGGTATATTAAATCCATGTTAGATTTTTGTTCATTTTTCTTAATTGTTGTTTTTGTTTTATTTGATTAGTTTCATTATTATTAGGCCTAAAAATGTCAAATGTGCTTAATATGTGCTTCAAAATCATGCGGGTAGCTTCGTCTATGTTCATTAGGGCCTGGGTAGACCACTAATCTTGTAAATTTGTTAAAAATTGCATGAACCCTAAAGTACTGCTGCGTAAAATTTAAATTGTGCGGCCGCACAAACTTTTGTGCGGTCCGTAGGTCTCAAAGTTAGGATAAAAGTATGAATGAAAAGTGCGGACCGCACTCAAAATTTTGCGGTCCGCAGAAAATTTGTGTGGTGCACACAAAAGTGTGTGCGTCCGTAGTGTTAAAGATCAGAGACCCCAATAGTGTAAATCTGGGGTTGTGCGGCCGCACTCAAAATTATGCGGTCCGCACTCTTGGTTGTGCGGCCGCACTGTGAAATTGTGCGATCCGCACTTGGCAGTCTACAGCCGCACTCACTTTTGTGTGGTCCGCACTGCCTCTTTTGAGTCTGCTTTCCTGCAACTATCATGCATGCATTTGTATACACTATGAACTTCAATTATAACTAATTCCTATTGCTATGTGTTACAGACAATGGTTAGATCACGTGGCGGAGGTGATACATCAATAGGGAGGGGTGAACCCTCCCGAGGCCGAGGCCGAGGCCGAGGCAAGAGTAACCTACCACTTGCCATGCAGAGAGCAATAAACAAGAAGGCTACTGCCAACAGAGTCCCAGAATCTTCAGACACCAGTGAATATGCCCCGTATAGGGAAGCTTCAGGGCAACTCTGTACAAGCACAGCCGAAAGCCCAATCACAGCAAGTTCAAGGGACATATCAACTCCTTAACGAATCCTCCACCTCAGCTAATTCTTCTAAGGGTTCAGATGCTGGTAGCCAAGGTTCAGAACCGTCCTCTACACACACTCCTCCCGCACCAATTGAGTTAGATGATGATGATGATGTCCCGGATGATGGTAGAGGAGGTGAAACTACAGTGGGAGGTCTTGAGAGGTCTAAAAAGAAGGAGTTATGGGAGGATCGATTTGTGAGCCTGACTGCCTTTACCAGATTCAGAGAGTGGTGGCCCCAGAGATCGCTCACACTTGAGTGACATTTCTTAATGAAGGATTTGGACATTCACAATCCAAATGTCCTTAGACAGTTCCAGGAGCGAAAGAGATGGAAATGGTTCACCCAAAGTGTCATTGACGCAAATGAGCACTTGGTTAAAGAATTTTATGCCAACTGAATATCCGATTTGACTCCTGCGCTTTGAACTCTCATGTGGGATTTGAAGAAGTAGAGGCAGTCTAGTATTTGGAAAAGCTTGGTATGGGTGATGCAGCTCGCCCGTGGCTAGCTGAGATTTTGGCTGCTCGAGGACCACCACCCTCGTGGCTCACAGCAGGGGTTCTCTTTGTGTGTAGCCGTATTGACCCGTGTCTGAACGAGAACAACCTCCCACTTCCCCGTGCAGTTTTGGTGGCTTCGATTATAGCTGGGTACCCAATCAATATGGGTTCCATAATGTCAACCAACACCACATTAGCTGTCCAAAAAGGTGAAAGATCCTACCCTTATCCAAACTTCCTCACAGAGTATTTCAATGATCAAAGGTGGAGCCGAGGACATTTGATACAAAAGTAAAGGCCAAGAAGCCTTTCTCATGGTACCACCTGCAGGGTGCTGACAACCCAAAGTTCAAGGGTAAGGCAACTACCTCCGCTTGCCAGTCTGAGGAGCCAACGGTAATAGTTACTGATTCAGCTGCTGAGCCTTCCACAGATGCCATGCCTTCCACAGCAGCCGGTCCTTCCACCGGGACAACAGACTTGCCACCACCTTCTTCTTCTAGACCATCAGCTTCATTATTAATGCCAGCCTCATCCACTTATCCACAGACTGCGCTGCGAGTCTCCCAAACATTGGCGAGTCTCAACAACTGGATGTAGGCAGCTACTTCAAAGCTATCTGACTTATCCGGTGCTGTTGCAGCATAGTCTTCTGCCCCAGCAGCACCACAGGTACCTCCATCAGTAGGGAAACATTGAAAAAGATTCTGGAAAACTAGAAGACTATCATGGCTACAGTGGTGGCACACGGAAAAGCTATTGAGGATTTGGGAAAACAGGTTAAGAAGATGAGGAAATCTCAAGCATCAAAGAAGTTGGTCGATAGATTAAGAAAAGAAGTTGCCAAGATTGCATATGCCGGAGATCTACCACTGGATTTACTGATGGAGTCAGCACCAGCAGTACCTGAGACATCACAGGCAGCAGCTGACTAGTCTGAAGAGCCAGACCTTACTGCCCACACCGCTGAGGAGAGGCTGCAGATGTTCATTAACCCTGTTGTCCCTCAGCGGGGTGATGATGAGATATAGTTGGAGGAGGTCGAGGTTGCTGAGGATGCCATGCAGACTGAGACCACATAGGGAGTTCTCTTAACTCTCTACCCTTCCTTGTTCTTATTTTTGTTAAGCATTGGGAACAATGCTTATTTTTATTCAAGGGGTGGTCTATTTTGATTGAGTTGACATTGACATTGGCCTGTAATAACTCTTATACTCTTTTTTTTTTAATTTTTATTTTCTCTTTGGTATGTATATATTCCGCCTTTTCATTTGATGTATATATTCATTTTCTTTTGGTTTGTATATTCATTTGTCTTACTTTCCGTAGTTTATTTCATAGCTTCTTTAGTTTGTTTTTCTTAGTAGTATAACTTCTTATTTAGCCAACGGCTATTTTTGACAGCCCAACGGCTGTTTTTAAAATTTTCCAACGACCAGTTTTTGTTTTTTTAAAATTTTACCATTGGGATCGTTTGGCCCGCCAAGGTCCCGGTCCTAGCGGTCCCAAAGTGTTGAACCGGCCCACGAGACCGGACCAGGCCCACATATACCGATCCTATCGGTCCTGGCCCGTTTGAACCGCAGTCCCGGACCGGTCCACTTGCCACCCTTAATGTATAAGGTTCTTTCAGAGTTATACTAATCTCAAACTCCAAATTTGATCTTGTATTTTGGGTTTCAATTGCATTTTGACCGCTGTACAACTAGAATAACATTTTACCTTTCGAAGTTAGAGAGCTGAGGAGATAGTAGACGTCCATAAGAGATGTCATAGAGGATAAAATAAGAGACCGCTTAATATGGTTTGATCATGTCTTGTGTCGCCCTATAGAGGCACCAGTCCGCAAGTGTGAAACTATGATAAGTGAAGGTGTTAAAAGAGGATAAATCACATGAAAGAAAGTTGTATAAAAAAACCTACAAATCCTTGGAATCAATGCAGACTTAGCTAAATATAGGGCACAATGGAAGAAGTGAAGATTCATATCGACCCAACTTTATTATCGCCGACCCAACTTTATTTGGGACTGAGGGGTAGTTGTTTATACTAGTAACTAACTCATGTTATTGCATTCTGAATACAAATACCACAAATAATTCCTGATTACTTATTTTTTTCAAATGAACATCAAGTCTCATCTTTGTCTTTGCCAAATGTCAACTCCAACTTTGACATAGCCAGTTTCAAGGTAGCATAAGCTAAGGTTATACAGTAGAAGAAGCTAAAGAACAAATAAGGAGCAATTTAGTTAACTCCATTATGACTAATTATACTTATAGATGTAGTAGGTAATATTCCTACATAATATCAATACATCTCTCTCTTAATCTCAAACAATGAAGAGGCAATTGAATGAGCTAAAAACAGCTGCTTTTCGAAAGGCTGCCGCGATCCTGGTAACAGGAATTAAAACTTTCCATCTCAAGATCTCTTCTTTTTTCTCTTTGTAGCAATGCTGTTTGATCCTAACTTAAAACAGTATGTTGAGGTAGAGGATGATCCATCCAGCCATAGAGAAAATAGCAAAAATATGAACCCAAAATAATACCGCCGCTGCCTCCTTCCCACATCCTCTCAAGTTGGCAACAGCACCTGCACAGAGTAGAAGTTAACTAAACACAAATACACAGGAAAAGTCAAAGAACATTGCGCATGCATGTCACATGTTTCAGAACTACTGTTAAAGGAATTTTTTTTCACCAGAAAGTACGGATGTGGGCATCGTATGCTGAAGCAGGAGTACGAATCTGAACATTTTATCACCAGCGGGAAGGAATCCAAGCTTATCAGCTAACATGACAATGCCAAGTCCGGTTGGAGGAACCAGAACCAGCCGTCCAAAGACAATTGCAGCGGTTGTCCTTAGACCAAGTTTTGAACTTCCGGGTCCTGGTCCTGCAGAAGACATTCAAATATCAAGCAGTAATTAGGAGCGCCTAGGAACATCAGAATTCAAACATCCTCGAAAAAAAAGCTATTGAATGACAAGGAGCTTTTATCACGAACAAGAGGAAAAGAAAATTAAAAAAGGAAAAAGAAAAAAGTGAATAATCACTTGCCATCGACGAGATTGCCTCCTAAAGCCAGCAGTATGCAGGGAATCATGGCATCCCTGGTAACAAAGAAATATAACAGCCGTTCAGAGGTTTTATTGACATTTACATAAAACAGCATTTCCACGACTGGACCATAAGAATAATCTTATCGCGTATGTCATTTTATTCTAGTGGAAAAAATAAAAGCAGATTTCCCAAATCCAATTCTGTAAGAATATATACTGATGTAACTATCAAAAAGGAATATGTATATACTGATGTAAGAAATTCTCAGGCAGAGGTGAAATGTCTTGTCTATTTGCAGCAAACAGTAACTGGAAATGATAAATGCCGCATGGTATTTATGGGAATCTTTTTATAGAGGGCCATGCCTTAGTTGCTTAAAACTGATTCTGCAATGGAGTAAAACTTACCCAAGAATCAAACAGCTGTCAGTGAAGAAGTAAAGTGGAGCATCGGAAGTAAAGACCTGTCGCCTCAGGATTGGCACACATCCTATGATGATGGCTAGGACCTGTTGAAAGAACATGCAATTTAGCAATCCGTAATCAAAATTGTTCTAATTGACAATCTGTTAAAAGAATAGATCTAAGTGACAAATATATAAGTGAACTATGCAGTTCAGCTCCTCCTTGGCCCCCAAAAGGTCCCAGAACTAAACACTGTTGCTCTGAAGAACAGTTAAAATATTCACGGAGAGTATTTTATTTTTGATAAGTCAAAATTACTTTGAGTAAATCTAACAGCTAAAAGGAATTCTTAGTTACCATATTCTCGTAAATGACTAATACATCAGCAAGTTGGGAACTCAAAGGAATGTCTCAAAATAGCAACTCAGGAAAGCCGAAAGGAATGCATTTGATTGCCAAAGGAGCAAAAACCCATAGTTCAGACAATGCTCCCCAAGAAAAAGACTAAAGAAGTCTCAAATGCAACTTTGCACAGTAGAAAATCAAAGAGATAAGCATTGTGCAGGTGAAATATGATTCATTATGGAGTATAGTTTATCGATGTTCAAATTTATAATATGGAACACATAGATAAAGTCAGTGAAATTGAAAAGAGCTCTTTATGTGGATCCATCCCAAGATATTGAACTTACAGAAGCTATAATAGGAGGTTGAATTATTTGCTTGAGCTTCAGTTTCTCATATAGAAAATTAAAGAACTCTTTAACCTGCAAAGAAAGTGAGGAGTAGTCAAACATCAGTATAAGTAAGCAAATAATCAAGATAATTAGCCAAAGCCCATATTCAAAAGAATTCAAAATCATAGGTTCGCTATATAACTGAAATTATAAAATTCAAAAGCATAGGTTCGCTATATAACTGAAATTTATAAAATTCAAAATCAAATGTTCGCTAGCAAAGCATCACAAAACTAAGAGTTATAACAAGAGAAACTAGTTCTGACACCACCGCAATAGTAAGCTTGACCCTAATGCCAAAGTTCTACAATATTTTTCCCAACATATAAGGGATTACTATTTCTACTGATTGGCAACATTAAAACTATGGGCAAAGGGCAAAGGCAAAAATTAACTAAGCATAGTGCATCTATCTCACCTTTCCTTTCTTTGAACCACTTGAGTCAGCCGGTGCTATGTCTGTTGTAAGTAATGGAACTTGCTCTGGTGAACTAGCTACCAGATGGCTCTGCGTGCCATCTCTGTTAGGATTTTTGATAGGAAGATTTGCGTCTTGAACATCGAAAGTGCCTTCACGAGGAGGTTTGAGCATATTGAACACATAGGTGTAGAGAACAATTGCACCAACCTACACATATTTACCAAATAATACCATTACTCATCATGCATTTTAAAGTTCCATGTTTGATGCAAACTTCTATACTAGGTGCAGGGTTTCAATGCAAAAGCTGAGGTTTTATTTTTTTAGTCGGGGTGCGAGAGGGAGGGGTTTTTTAAAGAGAAACAAAATGGCAAAGAAATTTCCATTAGTTGGTCGCTAGGCAGTAAAATGGTCAACTTTCACGAGACATCCTTGCCTCGATCAGGGAGGAAATATGGCAAAATTAAGAATTTAGAGTCAAGGAAATGCAAAATCAAGCAGTAGTGGAAAAACTTAGAAAGTGCCAAGAAAGACGAATTTCCAATAAAGGCATAGAAACCATCAATTCTGAGTTCATACATACCCACTGGCCAAATGAGATGTATGCATTTCCATCTCGCGAACATATCTCATAGTCACCAAAAGGATTTGATTTATCCCGACATAGTGCAGCTATCAGAACAAGTGGAACATTTCCAATATTCCCTGCATAGAAATTAAAAAAGAATAATAAGCTATCAAATCAGGCCTTGAATTACACATGCCAAGACATTAGATAAGATAGATAGCTACAAGCTGAAATGGAATATTTTCACCAAGTAGCAGTCAATTCCATACCACCAAAATTAAAATAAATAAATAAATAAGATACAAAAAGTTGCGTTATTTAAAAAATTCAAGAGACTATGAAAATAAGTGATTCCTGACTATGAAACTAGCTTTAGATGGAGCACTTACCAATGCCTATTTGTACAACAGTAAACTTGAAATAAGGGTATGGTGGACGGACGATTGAAGCAACAATGCAACCTATAATAGAGCCAGATATGGTGGCGATAACAATATTAACAGGGATGAACCACCTGATAAAATGAAGAAAACGTGAGTCGAAAGTACTATAGAATTGGGCATTGCATTACAAAATGACCACAAATATAAACTTTACCATTGAAGCAGTTTTTCATATGTGATGGCTTGTCCAAGTTGAGAGAATATCAAGCAGGGCAGCAAAAGTGAAAACACCAGCTGCATCAAAACCATGTAATATTATCTATTAGAGATACAAAAAAGCTAAAACTCAATAACTTCATAACATCTATCAGAAAGAAATTTGAGGACTCAATTGAGCTACAATCAAACTTCTCTATAACACTCATCCTCTATAACAACACTTCACTATAACGGCCAAGTTCTCTTTGGAACTAATTTTTCATGTTATGTTATAATATATGTTTTCTATAAAAACACTTTAATATAGCAGCCAAAAAATTGACTGGAACAAACTAGACTACTATAGAGAGTTTTGACTGTATTTCCTCTTTCAAGATTGAACATTCAGTTGAGCTAATTCTAAAACAAGACCTAACATAATGCTAGCATAAAAAGAGTACTGACCCCATTTAAGAGCTTCCGTCCATTAGCCGGAAGAATATTAACATACTTGGAGGCCATAAGAAATCCCAAGAAGCACATGGTAAAAACTTTTGCAATTGGTAAAACAGCAATCTTAATCGACCCGAGTAAAGACTCTCCTCCTCGTTGCGGTTCTGTTAGAACCTCCATAAGCAATCTTGGCACCCTATCCATCATTTCTATTCTACCTTATTAACTGCTTCCCTCAAAGACAAAACAGTTTCCTGATCATCCAACAATTCACTCCAAAAAAAAGCCGAAAATATTCCCTTTTCAGCCTTGAAGGTCCTGCTATTCTCGTTCAAGAAACTATGCCAGATACAAAATAAACCCAAAAATTGAGCTTTATCTAACTCCCAGTCCCAAAAACCAAGAAAGTTCAAATCTTTGGCAAGTAGTGCTCAGCTGGTCCAACAGTTAAGCTCCTTTCTGCAAAATTTAAGTATTAAACAAATCCAATTATTATCAAATCCAAATGCTATACATAGTAGAAGGTAGTTGACAAAGCAACAAAATCCTACTCACAACAACTTCTGCAAGAATTCTAGAAGGTTACACATATGAGGGGTGTGGGGGGGGGGGGGGGGGTAGGTATCACAAGTTTAAAGGGGGGTTTTCAGATTCAGAAAAAAAGCATCCAAAAATAAAAACTTTAGACAAATTTGAGAAATCCCATAACATATTAAGATTTCAAGCACCAAAAACAACTTTCTAACAATAAAAGATTCCTTTTTATTAACAACAAGTACAAGAATATGGTAAGTATTTAATCACAGAATTAAGAAAACTTCCAAAAAAATTCAAAGCCATGACAAAATGCAATCACACTTGCACGTTAAGAATATGTGAATAATAAATTAACGTAATCAAATAAGAGCTTAACAATTCAAACAGAATAAAAGAAATATAAAAACAGAGAAGTAGAAAGAAAAAGAATTACTAACCAATAAAAGTTCTCTCCACTCCACAAAGCTAATTAACGTTTCTTTGTATTTGGGTTTGTGTTTTGGTTTTTTATAAGCTAATGAAACAGAAGCCAAAAGGTAGAAGAAGAAGAAGAAGAAGAAGAAGAAAGAAGAAGTATATATGCTCAGAATCCTAAAAGGTTTAAAAATTGGAGTTTGAGAAAAGAATTGCAATTTGTGTCAATTTATACGTAAAAGAAGTATGACCCCACCAACCAACATTGGCTTCTCCTCCGTTGGTTTCCCTTTCACTGTTTCACATGATCTTGGAAAGCTCCTCTTTCTTTGTTTAATTGACATATTTACCCCCTGCAAATATTTGAATGTACTATAATGCCCCTATTTATTTGGACGTTTCTTCCGTACTCTAGTACTTTCAAAAACGGACACCTGCTTCTATTTACAGGCTTTTTATCTTTCTATTCTAGCAGCCAAATAACTTGTTTTTGTCTTTCCTTTTACCCAGTACTCATTCGTTTTAATTTACGTGGACCTATTTGAAATTTATAATTTTAAATAAGTTAAAAGGGATTCAGAATATTTGTATTGCTATAAAAGTCTTATTAAGGATTAAAAGCTTAATTTAAATTATTTCCAAATTTAGTGCCCGTTTGGACATAAAATTTGATGGAGCATTTTTCCAAAAAAATTTCACTTTTTTTCGAAATCAGCATTTATTCATAAAATTTCCAATTTTCACTTGAAGATACATTTTCAATTTTTTCGAAAATTTGAAAAACTGCAAAAAGCTATTTTTCAAAATTTTCACTCAAATCACTCACAAAACTTCAAAAAACAACCCAAACTGAAATTTATGTCCAAACACAACTCTAAATTTCAAATACCATATTCACTTGAAAAAATATTTCACCATTTTTCCGAATTTTACAATTCTTATGTCCAAACGCCTATTTAGAAAGGGGTAATTCTTTTTGGAACAGACTAAAAAGGAAATAGGTTCACATAAATTGGAACGGAATGAGTACTTTTTCCCCCATAAAATACAACAACAACAACAGACCCAGTTTGGTCCCAACAAGTGGGGTCTGGGAAGGGTGGTCTGTACGCAGACCTTACCCCTACCTAATGCATGTAGAGAGGCTGTTTCCTATAGACTCTCGGCTCAGGAAGGGCAAGAAGAAGAAGAAAAGGAAAGCAAGGGAGGAAGAAAGATGAAAGATAAATGGAAAAAAAAAGGATACAGGATAAGTGGTACCAAATATTAGCAACAGGGAATACAATACCTGAGGCAAACAAAACCACATAACATAATAAAAGTCTAAGAATATGAAGGGACATGCATACTACTAAGACTATCGGTGAGCAACTATAAACTACCTACTAACCTTCTACCTTAATCCTCGACCTCCACACTCTCCTATTAAGGGTCATGTCCTCAGTGAGCTGAAGCAGCGTCATTTTTTCCATAAAATGAGAGATGATATTCAAGTTAGCCTTTTCTTCATTTTTTAAAAAAAATAATTATGGTGTTCAAGTTAATTTGCACGCACTTTGATTAATTTTATGGGATATTTGATGTTTTTCACCAATATAAATATCAAATAACTTTATCCAATAAAATTTAGACGGATAAAATGATATAACCTAAGTAGTATTTTTGTTTCCATTGAGAAAAAAGTACTAAGATGAAGACTGTGAAAAGATGAGAGTCGATTCCAATAATACCACAAAAAAGACATTTTTTTCTTTTCAAAAAGAATAAACCTATTTAGTTGGGCATGAAGTTAAAAAATGAATGAAAATTTTTTGAGCTTGTGGTCTAAATCATCCATAGATATTTATATGACTATGAATCATCTAATTAAGGATAAAATAAAAAGTTTAAAGTTATATTCTTTTCAAATTTAAAAATGGTCATCCCCTTTTAAACGGACTAACAAAATATATTCATTCATTCTTTCTTTCTTAAACAGATGGAGTCAGTGCCGCAGCCGCATAGAGTGAAGGGTATTTAGTTGAACGCCGTTCATCGAAAAATCTTCCTAAGTATATAAGAAATTATAATATGTACATATATATCAAAATTTACTTTTTATAAAATTGTACAAAACCTTAAACACTTTGTAAATAATTTACTAGTTGTTCTTTCTTTCAAGCGACTTATAATTTCGCTTTTACATCTTAAATATGGAAGAGTATTTCCAAAAGATAGCTATTATTACGCAAAGTCAATAATTGGGAAGTGTTAAATCGATGAATAGTTGATTTTATCCTGAATTGACAGAAGCTGATGGCTTCTTTTCAATTAGAGGTGTGAATTATACTCTGAATTAACTGAAATCTTCTCCATTTTATTTTCAATGTTTTGGTTAACATCTTCGTTTCATTATAGAAAAATGCAAATTTGTGAAAAAAATTAAGTGAGTGTTTGGATATAGGAATTGTAAAATTTCTGAAAAATTATTTTTTTTAAGTGCAAATGGTATTTGAAAATTAGAGTTGTGTTTGGACATGAATACAATTTAGAACTCTTTTTTAATTTTTGTTAGTAATTTGAAGTGAAAATTTTAAAAAATAATTTTTTGGAGATTTTCAAATTTTTGAAAAAATTAAAATTCTACTTCAAGTGAAATTTGAGAATTTTCATGGACAATACTAATTCCGAAAAAAGCGCAAGGTTTCTTTAGACGGGCCCCAGGGAAGTTCTAGAATATAAAGAGATCATGATTCATGTACATATGGATGCAGAAGTTGATTGTCATTTTTTACATTTTAAAAGTATATATTGTTTGACCAAAAAGAGTTAAGTTTTTTGTTAAACTAATTAATGAGAAAATAGAGGATAAATCCTAGCCAAGGATAACTAACTTTAGATTAAAGCATATTGAATAAGAGAATAAGATATAATCGAGCTCGTAAACTTTTTACGATTATAAAAGATATCAAATGTAAATGGCAGACTTACATTCTTGACATACTGTTCCGTATGTAAGAATAAAGAAGGAATGCCATTAATAGCTACGGGGTCATCTTTATTGATTCGATAACGACGATTACAAAGATTTGCAGCCAAGATCCAAACATTCTCTTGCTTTTCCTCAGAAACCTTTCTCTTGTTCTTCTGTCTCTTTCGGATGGAGGAGAGAAAAAGCCCCCTTTCTTGTTCTCTTCCCTCCTATATATACGGTAAGTATTCTCTTTTATCTAACGGTTCTTAGCCAGAATACCCTAATATGTTAATTGTACGTTGGGTCGTTCCCCTTAAGTGTCACGACATATGCTTCGCCGTACAAGCTTTCTGGTAGTTCGATCTCGGCAGCGGCCGAGATACTCGTTGTTATGATGCCTTATCGATACGACCACGGCTTAGTCGGCCCCTCGCCATTCCTTTTAGCGCTGATCCACGTGTGGTCAAATTTTGACCCATACATACACATCGATCGTTAGTTTAAAGGCTACCTAGTTTAAAATCAAAGGTGTTTAAGCAAAATTTACTCAGTTATAACTTATAAATCATTTTTATAATTAATGAAGGAAAACATTTTTCGGTTATTAATCTGATATATGAATGTTCTGTTGTGAGGTAACAGTAGTTGATGTGTCTTAAAATATCAAAATAATAATTATTCTACGTAGAAATTAAGAAGAATTAAGGAGAGAGAGAGAGAGAAAGAGACGCGTTGTAGTGGATTCAATTAGGGACCGTTGATGTGTCTTTTCTTTGTTTGACAATCCATTTCCTCCCCATGTTTTTATATAGGCAATTTATTGCTTAATTAATTGAAGAAAAGGAGGGTTAGTAATTAGTACGGAATATATTAATGATAATAATTATGTAATGAGCGAAACATGGAGGCAACGTGACAAGTTTCTGTTAGGCGCATATTTGTTTATACATTTTATGTACAGAAAAAAAACCAACATTTCAATCAGTAGTGGGTCAAAAGAAAAGAAACGATGCCATAAGAGAAACATTTCATATAGACATCGCCCGGGGTGGATTTAGAATTTTATGTTTGTGAGTTCCTATAATAATATCAAACTAATGTATATTAATAACTGAACCAACAAACTGGCTTCCGAACTAAATATTTTATACATTTAATGAATTTTTCGTACAAATACAAAATCAAGCCAAAAATTATTGAATTCACATCTATATCTATATCTATCTATATTTATATATACAATAAAGTTGGGAAAATAAAAGATGATGTGGCATATTTCTTTGGCCAAGGATCACGTTTTATCTTTTTTCTTAGAATTTATACCTTTTTCCTTATTTTTACATTTAAATTTTGTTAACAATTAAGCATGCCTTATTTATTTATTTCATCATTAATATATTATTCATCTCTTTTCCTAAAACGTTTTCTACTCTCTTTTTCAGTTACAATTTTTCCTCCACTTAAACAACATCATTAGTGTTATTTATTTATTTCCTTTAAATCACCTTTTTTTCTTTCTTTGCATTAGTTTTTTCCCCATAACTCAATAATTCCAATGCTAGAGGAGTCCAAATGGAAGTATTTTGCTCTTCAGGTATCCAATTCTAATCCTATATTATTTTGTGACTTCGTTTTCTTTACTTGATGAGATTATAGTTTGTGCAACGTTTTTATTCATGTTTGATTTCCTCAATTGAATTTGAATTTGAAAGTAATTGCTTCAGGCTTTCTTTGTTTTACTGCCCTCCCTATGAAAGAAAATGAAAATGGAGAACTAGGGACTATGGCTAGCCAGAAATTGGTAGAAGAATACCAGGTATGTGATCACTATGTATTTTTTAAAATATGTCATTTTTATGGATCTTGTTCAAATAGAGTCATAACTATGCACCAATAAATCGACTTCTTTATCATTTTACTACTCTGATTTTTGATTATCACTCCTCACAAATTTTTTTTCTCCATATAATCCTTGAAGTTTAAGAAGTAAGAGTTTCAACAACATTTTATTTTATCTTTCTTTCTTTTGATTTACTTTTGATTATACTGTAAGAAAATTACTACATGATTGAATATTGATATGATCTGCAGATTGCTTGGATGAAACTTTTGTCAATGTATAATCTTCAGAGGAGAACTGGAACAACATCAAGTAATTAACTTTAGAGTTTGTGGTAAATAATTCGGTAATTCCTTTTGAATTTCTCCATAGGAAGGGAGAAGCAAGAAAGATTATGTAATTGTGTAGTAACGTAAAAGAGTAATTACATGTGCTTCTTTGCTTTTTCTATCCAGTGCAATAGGTTTCTGAAGTTTTGTAAATGCCTATTTTAGTGAAAAGTAGTAATACTAAAGAATTCACATTTCTTTAAAATTCTTTAGCTGATTATTTATAGAAGTAAATATAAATATTATATATATAAAATTTGTTAGCAAAATGTTTTTAGTTGATTATCTATAAATGTAAATAGAATGGTTGTTATAGTTTCAACCTTTCATATTCCGTATTTTTGGACCGTTACAATCTTTCATCATAATCCATTTTATAAAGAACAAAGTATTTTTATAGTTGCAATAGCTCTATATTCTTACAGTTGCGATGGCTCTATCTGCAAATTTCTTCCCTTATCCTCTAGCCATTCATATTGCTTCTTCAATTCTCGCTTTCATTAGGAATTTATTGAGTTAAGCTTTTGTATTGGTTATGTTTCAACAGAACTTATACTTATTTTTATTTTGGTAATTACTATATTTTTTACTATTTTACAATTGATATTCTTGAAAAGAAAATTAACTAATCCAGCTTAATACCCGATATATGTGCTAACAGAAAGCACCAACAGTAATTGTTAAAATAAGGTTATGAGAATGATATTGGCAATAAATTAATTATATTACTGGGCATTAGTATATGAAGTACCCGAATAAAATGACTTCAAATTCGATGAGTTGCTCAAGTTCAACGAAAAATTTTGTGAGGTTGGACATAGTCTTTTGAAAAGCATAAGACATGCATATTACGTACACGTGTATTTTATGATTATAAAGATTTTGTGCTAGATATTATACATTAAAATCTAAAAACTGAGATTTAAATATTTAGGAGGAATAATCAACCTTGAGAAATTATTTATTTAAAAGCTTATCGGAAAATATACATACAATTAAAGCTGGTCAAAGAATACCACCTCGGCATCACCAATGGGAGGTTTTAGAGACATGCGACCATATAAACTTTGTATATTTAATTTTTTATAAACTTTTGTATATTTAATTTTTTATATATCATTCTTGCATTGGGGTTTAATATTTTTAGAAATTTAGATGATATGAAATACACATAATTAAAATATAACTTCAACAATATTTCTTATCACCCCGCGAAGCGCAGATAAATTCACTAGTGAATATGTAACCTTTGCAGTAAATTCGTCCGCCTCTGGACACAACTTGGAATAAGAGAGAATATGTGATAAGAAAAAAAGATGCCAAAGAAGAGATGGCATAAGAAAAATCCTAAATTCTCTATTTAGGAATAGGACTATACTTCCTCCGGTCCATTTATTCGTTATGTTTGTCACAAATAGTTATTCCAATATACTTATCGTTTTAGAAAATAGCGAAAAGATTAATGAATTTCTTCAATTTCACTCTTCGCAATAAAGGATAAATATTTATTGGAGAGATTGATGTGCTGAAATATCAAAGAGTAAATTAATCAAATAACATTTATTATTAATATTTTTTATGAAATATGTGTAAATAAAAATATGGCAAGTAACATCATTTCATCAAAGCCACTCCAGGTCTCTTCAACGATATTTTGGTTTTATGATTTGGGGTGATTAATATATTCGAGAAAAATCTACTTTTTACGTTTGTTTGTATAGAATTCATAGGATAATCTTTTTGTGATAATTTACTCTTAATATAGTATGACAAAATAATATTTATTACAGTTGTAAAAGGAATATTTGACATAAAAATTTATCCCCACTTTAATTGGGTTAATTTCACTGATGGTCATTCAACTATCTTTCAATTTCACTAAAGTCACTCAACTATTTTTTTATCACTTAAAAGTAACTAAACTTTATCATTGTCACTTAAAAGTTATTTTGGCTCAAAACCCTACCATAAATATGACATGACATAAACTTTAATGAGAAAAACCCAAAAATAAATGTCACGTAAGCTTAAATGGATCATACCCACTTTAGATCCATTTCTTCCTTAATGTGATTTGACTCATAACCCAAATTCTTTCAATAAAAAAAAATATTAAATTTCACATTAGTTTAAAATGATTATCCTATACTACAAAATTCTTGCCTTTTCTGTTACATAATGCTCATTCATAATTGTTCTATACTAAAAAAAAATCTTATCTTGTTTGTATGCGCCATCGAGTCGTTTTATAAATCTACTGAAGTTAAAATACTATTGTATCCAACTTACATAACATATTTATAATTTTCTAGTGAAATTAAAATGGTATTGTATTCATCTCACATAACATATTAATGTATCATAAGCATACAAGAATAATAATAAGGCTAATAAGAGTCTATTTTCACAATGAGCATGCAATTATAGACAACCTATCGCAATTGTTTAGACAAAAGAGAGATTGTATTTGTACGATAAAAAACCCACAAATAAATCACAAGACCTAATTTTATTAGGTGTGTGTGTTTTTTCCCCCTATTAAAACCCATTTAGGTTGTGGGTCAAATCACATAAAGGAAGAAATGGATCTAAAGTGGGTATGATCCATTTAAGCTTATGTGGCATTTATTTTTGAATTTTTCTCATTAAAGTTTATGCCATGTCATATATATGGTAGAGTTTTGAGCCAAAATGTCTTTTAAGTGACAATGATAAAGTTTAGTTACTTTTAAGTGCCAAAAAATAGTTGAGTGACTTTAGTGAAATTGAAAGATAGTTGAATGAGGGGCATTTGCATCTATACCTGCTTTTTGTGCCACATTTTAACTTGTGTCCGCTTTGCAAAAAAAATTGCAAGCGTACTCGCTTTTTCACATAACTTCAGCACACGGGGCTGTAGTAGCAAAGGCAATCACGCAAAACTTCAGCATTCTAGTAGCCGGGCCTGAAGTTCAGCTCTTGAGCTGAAGTTTTTGTATTGTAACTGGGAAACTTCAGCTCTTGAGCTGAAGCTTTTGTGTTGCAACTGAGAAACTTCAGCTCTTGAGCTGAAGTTTTTGTGTTGTAACTGAGAAACTTGCGTTAAGAAATTCATACTCTAATGTTGACAATGCTTCTGCCATTGTTGCATATGAGGCTAAGACTAGGCTGAAGAGATCAAATAGTACATCTGATTTAGTTATCCAATCAAATACTGAAGATTTGCTTATGAGCAAAGGTGGTGGATCCATTATATCAGAATTCTATAGTGCAGAATATAGGAGAAACTATGCAGTACCCAGCACTATGAGTGCTTCAGACATGGTGATTATTCATACCAGATAATTATATGAATAAACTATATAATCCAGATTTTATAGCTTTTCCATGCCCAATATGTAACAATTGTTAATCGAGTTGCTGAACATATGAGAAATTTGAAGCGTCTGATTGTTAGAAGGTTGTAATTTGAAACAGTGGACGTGGAGGTTATAGGAACAGTAGCTCCGATGAAGAAGAAAATAAAGGAGGAGAAGAAGGAGGAGAAAGGGGCTGAAGTTATTTAAAAAGTGGGTACAAGTTAAAAGTTTAAAAAAAAATGAGTATAGATTAAATAGGGACGACCAAATAGGACCCCATGCAATTTTTACGTTGAATGACCATCACTAAAATTAACCCCACTTTAATTTGTCATATATAGACCAAATACAAAAACAGATCCAATGCTAGAACTAGTTTTGTCACTACATAGTTCATACATTCAGACAAAAGAAACGTTAAACATGCCCAATTTCTTTTGCCGTCATTTCATGAACCAGCACTATTACAAAGAAAAATTATGATACCAGGTAAAATAAGACAAGGTAACGGCGCGACCAAACCTAATTGATCGTTACATAAAGTGACACATTTTACCGTTACGTAACGACATATTTAACAATACAATACAATAAAATTTAAGTAACAATCAAATCAAACATCATATTTAAAGTAAAAATACGATGCAATACAACATGTCACAATCATCAAAGCCGTAAGGACAACTGCACGTGAAAAGGAAGAGAATTGGAATCATTCATCAATAACCAAGTCATAATTACAATAAGACCACCATTAACACAGGGATTAGCTCATAAAATAAGAAAAGATTCCGCTCTTTTTGGGGACAATGACAGAAACACATGTAATTAACGCTTAATTAACATCAAAGAGAAATATAATTAGGGGGTTCTCCACATGTGTGTTATTGATCTGCAGATCTGTTGGAATGTGATTGTGATCTGATATATATATATATANTATATATATATATATATATATATATATATTGGTTAAAGGGAAATTTTTTCTTAATAATAATAATAATAATAATAATAATAATAATAATAATACTAACATTACAGGTGATCTGACATAACCTACTACTACTGCACTTCTCCAACTCAATTTTATATATCTTGACTTTCCTTTTAATCCGTTTAAAACTATTGTTGATTTTTTTATATTTTGTATTTTTTTCCCCTTTCAAAAGAGAAACATATTGCAAGAAAGAAAAAAGTAAGAAAATAAAAATAAAAGTAGTTCAAAATCGAGCGAGAGAACTAAACCCCAGCAATATCTGCAACAGGCGAAAAAATGCTAGAAGGCACAAACGTCTGTCATTCAAATCGAAACTCTTGACTAAATACCAAATAATTTTAAGGGTACTTTTTTGTATTTTATTGCAGGTTTAGTTTGACATTGCAACATTTTTAAAGTCACTTATATATTTTTAAATTTTCCTATCCGGTGAAACTATTGTTAGGACGGAAAAAGCAGGTGTTGCGCGGAAGCTAGTAAAGCAAATCTTGAACGACGATAAATCAGATAACAAACGAGAAATATATCAAAAGAGACACAAACATATAACGTGACTCGGTCAACTGACCTACGTCCACAGTGGGGATGAGCAATCCACTATATAAAAAAAGAGTACAAAATATCGAGAGAGCTACCTCACGAATAGGCAAACACAAGTGACACACTAACACTTGTCCGGTAAAGTTCTCCCCCCAAACAAGACTCTCAAGGCCCCTATGGCTACATTGTGGATGCTACTGAATGAGAAGGAAGGATCATCAATTTATAGAAGTCCAAACCTTTTCCTACAAGAAAATGAACTAGCTGTTGGGAACAAAGTCCCACATTGGTAGCTGAAAAGATTGCGAGTCTAC